TGAACACAGGCCTTCTTTTCTTCATCAGGCCTAATCAAAGTGTTGACCTTGGCCACATCGATGCCATAGAGCTTCTTTACAGCTTGTTTGATTTGTTGCTTGTTGGCCTTGACATCCACAGTGGACACAAGTGTGTTATTATCTTCTGTCTTCTTCATGGCTGACTCAGTGGTCAGGGGAAACTTGATGATGGCATAGTGGTCAAGCCTGTTTCTCCTGGGGGCGATTTTCTGGGGGTGTTTGGGCTGCCTTCGGAGTCTCAGCGTCTTAGGCTGCCGGAAGGTGGGTGACGTGCGGATCTTCTTTTATTAGACTGTGGATTCCCTTCAGGACGGCCTTCTTGGTCTTTAATGCCTTTGCTTTGGCTTCAGTTTTGGGAGGTGAAGGGGCTTCCTTCTTCGCTTTTGGCACCATCTTCATAGAAAGCTCTTTTGATTTTTTTTACATTCTCAATCCTGGTCATGCTAAAAGAAACATTAGGTGGGTAGACAACACTGGGATATTTTTATGTTATTGGTTATTGTAAGAATTGTTTTATTTCTCCCCCCCCCACATTAATCTGGGATGTAAATTAATGTCTCTCTCTCTCTCACACACACATGCCCTTGTTATTACTGGGATGTGAACATCACCTGCCCTCCTCCAGGATTTTCGAGGAGGCAAAACCAAATTATTGGAGTCGTGATCCCTCGTTTTTTTTCTTCCCTCAGCAGGAGATCGGGAGGTGGGAGGATGGGGTGGGGTGGGCGGGGAGATCTTGAAGGGTACAGTCCTAAAGTGACAGGTACCTAAGTCCTTTTAGGACTTGTATTTTTAATCAAGTAAGCGTTTTAATTACTAACATGCCATCTACCTCTGAATCTCCCACTGAACTGCTCCTCAATTTCTCTTGGCTTCCTGGGAACACTGCACAGTGGCAGGCCCCCCTGGAGGACTCGTCAGGGCTGAAATAACCTGAGTCCAAGCTCCCCTGGTAAAATGTGCTGTTATTTACTCTGAGATGCAATAGTTTCTGGGTGGGACAAGCTGGATGTTGTGACAGGCCCATGTGATCTTAACTCCGTGACGGTTTATATTTGGAAGTCTGTAGGACAAAGAAGCCATATTTTTTCTGTCTCTCTTTTCTCCTTCCTTCTTTCTCTACTTAACCTAAAGTTCTAGTGTCTGTAAGGACCTCTCCAAGGTTTTACCGCCAAATGCTGCTAAATAACACACCTGGTGGGTTCATACTGGGCATCTTTGCATTGGCAATGCGACTCTCCACCTTCTAGGCTACCAGAACATCTTCGTTTTGTTTTTTTTTGTGTGTGTTTTAAAAATCTATATGATGAGTAAATGTTATTGTTTGTATCATCGAGTTGGAACCTACCCATAGCTAACCCTCTGGTTGATTTTCAGAAGAGATTGCCCATCCTTCTTCTGTGGCCTCGAACAGTGTGCCTTCAGGATTGCAGCGCAGTTTCTTGCCACTATGCCACCACAGCTCCCTAATGGGACAATGTTGTTGTTGCTTACCTTCGAGTTGAGCACGACTCATAGTGATACAATGTACAAAGGGCCTGAAGCCTTTCTCTAACTATCGACATTTATCAAAGTGCATATAGTTTCCGGAGGAATATTGTTTAGGAAGCAGATGCCACTGCTTCCAACTACATTAAGAATAAATCCCTTTGTTGTTCTTCCCAGGTCTCTTCCATGATGCCACTGTTGTAGAATGGGACTAACCTCAGGGTTGGGGAGAGACTGAATAAGATGTGTTCAATAATGTATACTGCACTGAAACAGAGGAGGGAGAAAACTGTGTAAAAGAGATATGTGACTAGGTATTTCTGTCATCACAGGAGTCTAGAGCGAGGGCTACACAGTGGAGGGGACCTGGGGGAGGGTTTGTAAAACAATGAAAGAATCTTTTCTTTTACTTTTCCATAATTTTTGACTCATGTACTTATAACTTGTTAGTTAAATTTGTGTCTTCTAGGTTGCAACCCCCCCATGATACATCTTCAGGGATATGAACATGTACGGCTAAGCACAATTAATAACAGTGCATCTAAATTCCAAAATCAATCTCCATAATAGTCTATGTGTTTCCTACTGCCAAAGGGGCCCTTTAGAGTAGTGAGAGAAGATCTTCATCCTGAAACCCACAGCATCCCTTTTCAGCAGGAAGTAGTTAAGAGAATACGCCATCCCCTTTTCCTTATGAATCAGGGTGAAGTCTCTCTCAGGGAGGAGTGATAGGGAATGGCAAAGGACACACTGACAAAGGAGATTAATCAGAACTGACTTTGACAAGCACTGTGGCAATTGGACAATTAAAACAGACATTCGGATGGCGGGGGAAGAAGAACAAAATGAGGAGGAGGGTAGAGAGAATGGTGCAGTAATGAAGGAATGAAAACCCAAAATCCCTGTAAATGTTCATTAAAACTAATAAAATTTAATAAAATAAAAAAAAGAATAAATCCCACACTGATATGGAATCAAAGCTGATGCATTGACCTTCTAATGGATTTTTGAAGGCTGTTAATGGCATACAAGGGATTTCCAATCCTTCTCCCTCAGAACGGCTGGTGGATTCAAATGGCCAGGAAGTAAGAGCTTTGGGTCAGCAGTGCATCTCCTAAAGACCATAGCACCAGAGCGCCCTCAACACTACACCGTTGTTGTGAACCTCCAAGTTGGAATTGATCAATGATTTTCTATTACTTGGACCCATAATCCACATATTATGAAAGCAGCAGTCAAGAAATCAAAAGATGTTGCACTGGGCAAAATTGCTCTCAAGGATCTCTTTACAGTGCTAAAGAGAAAGGATATCAGTTTTAAGGCTAAGGTGTGCCTGATCCAAGCCATCGTATTTTCAACTGCTTCATATACATGTGAAAGTTAGATAATGAATAAGGTCGCCTGAAGAAGAACTGATACTGTAGAATGGTTGTGTTGGTGAAGAATACGGAACATTCTGTGAACCACCGAAAGAACAAACAGCTCTGTTTTAAAGGACGTGCCACCAGGCAGGCAAGGAGGGCAAAACTTTATTTCACATCCTGTGTATGGGAAATAGATGGGTAATCTCTTCCAGTGTGATTGAACTGCCTCTGAAAACCTGCTGGAGGGTCAGCTATGGGTTGGTTCTGACTCAACAGTACTCAACAACAAGGCGTACTGTCTATCAGAAGGAACCAAGCCTTAGACAAAGAAATCAAGCTTAGACAAGTGGTAGGGAAGTAAAGGAGAGGAAGGCCCAGGCTAAACAGACCCAGCGACTACAACAATGGGCTTAATCACAGCGCAAATTGTGAGAATGGCACAGGACTGGGCAAGGTAGCAATCTGTCATATATAGAGTCAATATGATTGGAGTTGACTCCATGACTCCTACCAACAATAACAACAACCAACCAATCAATTGAGTAAATGAATGCAGACAGGCTTGATTATCAAGCCACTGATGAGAGTGTATGTAATTTCACTACCCTTCTCCCGGCTGGCTTGAGGCCTCCTCCATATGCCTATTTGTACTCTGTCATACAAATGAGGTGGCAGGAACACTGTTAAGCCATCATGGGGAAAAGGAACAACCTTTACACTCTTGAAACTATTTCCCCCAAACCCTTAGACTCTCATGGCAGAGTCTGTTTTACGTTCAGTAACGTCTCCAGGTGTGGTTCCCATCTTTGCTATATCATGGGATGGTCAAATTTCAAGGCACATTTTCAGCAGATAAGACCAATAAAACAAAAAATTTACTGACAGAGAAAAGAAAACAGCACCACTTAAAAGAGGAAGCGTACAAAGAAAAGAAATCCAGAAACCAGTTACTACGTCTTGCCCTTAAAAGATAATATAAAAAAAGACACTTTCTCACAGTAATAGTAGAAAAAGAGCACTGTCAACATGAAGAACAGGACTTTGAAGCGAATAAAACGAGCCTACTTCAAAACTTGGAAGCAGGAGTGGCATCCACTTCCTAAACAACATGCCTCTGGAAACTATGAACTTTGAGAAACAACATTAGTTATAGAAAGACTTCAGGCCTTTTGTTCATTCATAGGGTCGCTATGAGTGATGCCCCTAGATGGCAATCAACAACAACTTCAAAACTTACCATTATCTTGATTTCTCCTCCTTTAAGCAGCAGGCCTGTGTAAAACTTTCTAAGAGTCTAGATTGGTGGTGGGGCACCATATTACTTTATTTAGTTGTCTAGGAAGGTCTAGTGGCCTAAGGGAGCTCTGGTGGCCCAGTGGTAAGAAGCTATGCTGCAATCCCGAAGGCATGCAGTTCAAGTCCCACAGCAGCTCTGCTAGAGAAAGATGGGCCATCTTACCCCCATGATTTGCTGCAGCTGAAAACCCACTGCAGGAGAGCTGGAGTCAGTTTCTACTCCATGGCACACAACCATCACCACCACCACCACCACCACCACCACCACCACCACCACGAGTAGTCTAGGACTATATACTCTAACAGAGACTTAGTACAATAGGATAACAGTATTGATCATCAGTATTGCAAAGATAGCATTTAAATAGTTTTGCTCTTTAATCAGAAAGATCGCCGTTGTTATGTGACTACTACTCATAGTGACCCTATGATCAACGGCTCTGAACCTTGCCCTAGGCTGAGCCAACTTCAGTCTCTGATTCATCTCACCCCATTGCCACAGCAATTGTGTCTACCCATGTCATCTGGGGTCTTCCTCTCCTGCACTGACCCTCCACCCTTCCCAGCATGATGTCCTTCTCCAAGGATTGATTCCTCCTGGCCATGTGCTCAAAATATGTGCAATAAGGCTTCAAACTCCTGGCCTCCAAGGAGCAACCAAAAGTTGGATTTTTTTTTTAAATTTCAATACTCTGTGTGTCCTTGGTTCTGCAGATGGAAAGAAGTTAGAATTTCAACACAGATTCTCACCTATTGGGTAGGGAACGACATGCTGGCGAATACCAGCTTTGTTGGGGGGCACACTCAGGGTGAAGGAAGCGGGGACATTACCTTTGGAATGCACGCTGTGGGCTCGGACAGGCGGGGGTAGGTGTAAGAGTTGTACGAGTGTCCCTGGGGGTGGGTCTTAAATGCACTTGCTCCAAACGGCATCATGGGCTCCTGGAGGCCCGAGCCCGACCTTGACCTCTGCCGCATGGCCGGCTGCGGGCTGGTCTGGTGCAGGTACGAGGACTTGGGCCTCCTCTCGTAGTCGTCCAGGCTGGGCCCCCACTCGCTTTCACTGTAGGCCAGGCTTTCCTTGGAGCACCCGCTGGTGCCTGCAGTTCTGGAAGGCGTGAACTGGAAGGGGTCTCGGTAGTCCAGCGGGGAGCTGCTCGAGGCTCTCTGGTAGCCCCACTTGAGGTCACTGTAGTCCCCGACTTTGCCCAGGGTGTCCAGATGGGTGTGGTAATCGACAGGGAATCTGGAGATGGTGGACTTCAGAGGCTTCATCTCCGAGTAGTAGGCCTCGCCCGGCTTCATCTTCACCACGTGCCCGTTTTGCTTGGCCGCCTGGCTGCCTCTGTAGTAGGGGTCCAGGTCGTCGGCGAAGAGCCCCCTTTCTCGGTACTTGTCGACGCCGTAGTCGGTGGTGGTGTCCGACTCGCTGGAGTACTGGGAGAAGGTGACAAAGCCATTCTCGTCCGAGGGGCGCTGCCCGCGGCCTGTGGCTCCCTGCTCGGGGGTCGGGGGGCTCTCCTTCCTCAGGGAGTTGGATCGAGTCACCGAGATGCTGTCGAAGTCCTCCAGCAGCCCGTTGATGGAGGCTTCGGGGCAGGGCTTGTGCCCCCGGACGATTGTCTGAGAACAGGAAAGAGAAAGAAGCTTTCAGGGAGGCTTCCACGTGGATGGAGGAATCCCATCCCCATGCCACCCAGTTCAGAACGCAGAAAGAAAACAAACTCCACAGAATGCATCATTATCCCATTTAAAAGCTTTTGATAGGACAGTGGCAAAAGAAACACAACATATAAACAGCAACATTCCCCCCACTTGATTCAGCAGAGAGCACAAATCAACATCATAGAGTCACAGAAGTCCAACCAGCCTGTCCTATATACCAGGTTATGGACAATTCCCTCTGGTGGCTTTGTGATAGGGAGTTGAGCAGCAAATCCATAAGTGAGGTTCAAATGCACTAGCTGTTCTGGTAGAGTGAAATTTACTGCTTCTGAAAACCCAGTTGAGGGTCATCTGTCGGTAGTTCCTACTCAATAGTACATAATAACAACAAAATAATCCACCTACACGATAAATCCTACTTGTATAACAATGTGCTGAGGGTTATAATTTTAGCAGACAAAAGCTGTTTGTTTTTACACAGCATCTTATTCTTTAAGATTCATTGTCTGGGCAATGTACACAATCAGAAAAAAAAGTAAGTCACTTGGATGCAATGGTCTGAATAACATTCTAACCAGAAATTAGCACATAGATTTTGCCCTTTATGGAAGACACATAAAGAGTGCAGCTTATCAGATTTCCCAGAAGGAGAATGCACACTCTGAAACTGTAAATAGAGAGTGGAATAACAACTGTGTGTGGTTTCATTTGTGATACTTGATAAGCACAAAGCGCATTCTGTGGTCACACATCATTGCTGAATATCAGTTTTGATAATGACCTGGTGGTACCTCTGTCTGGGAGACAAACTGCCAACTCCAAATGTTCTCTCTGATGAACCGAAAGAACTCCAGAATCCCAGGAACAGAAAGAAATCACAAATCACTTAGAAAGCTCGTCAGCTTCAGTTAAGCAATGACAGGGTTTGCAGCAAAATGTGATAGGGGTGGATCCAGGAAGAACAAAGAACGGAGTGTTGTCTTAAAAGTCTTTCAGATTTTAAGAGAAAAACACTTTGTGTAAGCAGGATGGCGTTTAAAAACCATTTCAGTATAATACACTGGAGGCCAAAGTCAGAGTTGTCCTGGAGCATAGGACTGAAAAATCAATGATTTTAAATTTTCCATGGAGAAAGCAGTTTCATTATAGTTTTCTGTTTTTCTCCCTGAAACACTGCTGTGTTAATACTCTTGGCTGGTAATCAAAACCAAAACCAAATCAAACACAAAACCCCACTGCAATCAAGCAGACCCTGGCTCACAGAGCCCCATAGGACAGAACAGAAATCCCTATAGACTTCCTGACAAGTCTGTCAATCTTTTCAGAAGCAACTGCCAGGAAACAGTTGGTAGGTTTGAACTACTGGTGTTTTTTTGGGGGGGAGGGGACAGTTAGTTGCCACTGTATCAATAATTTCTTTTAAATAAACTTTTTGTTTTAGAACAGGAAGCCCTGGTGGTTTAGTGGTAAAGAACTGTGCTGCCAACACAAAGGTATGTGGTTCAAATCTACCAGCTGCTCCACGGCAGAAAGATAGGCAATCTCCTCTCATGTGATTTACTGACTCTGCAAGCCTGCGGGAAGGTCAGCTATGGATAGTTCTGACTTGCTGGGACACAAACATTTTAGAGTTGTAAGAGATTTAGAAGTGTCAAAGATGACTGAGAGTTCCCATATTCCCTCACCTCGTTTCCCTTATGGCTAAGTCTTGCAGCACTCGAGCTGCTGTTCTTAGCTGCTGCCCAGCTGTCCACTAACATGCCAAGTTTACCAAGTAGAGAGCAATGCTGCTTTATAGTTGCTTTTGTCTACAGTCTTACAGTTTCCTGTCAAAGCATGATTTTCCAAGTTATTGAGGCCAGCACCATTTTCTCTCTGATGATAATCCAGTCAGAATCTTTTATCACAGTCTACATTCCATCCTAAGAGCCTTTGGCCTCCGTTTGATTTTTTTTTTTGCTGACTCTCCACCTTTCCAACCACAATGTCCCTTTGCAAGGAATGGCCTCTTCTAGCTACATGCCATGCCCCAAGTATGTGAGATGAAGCTTTGTCATCTTGTCCTCCAAGGAGCACTCTGGCTGCATTTTCTCCAAGACATGTCTGGTTGTTCTTTTGGCAGTCCACGGGATAGATTTTCAGTGTTCTTCTCTAACATCACAGGTCAAAGGCACCAATTATTCTTCTGTCATCCCTAAAGCTTTCAGATGCACAGTAAATGATTTAAAAGACTATGGCCTCAATCTGGTGCACCTTAGTTTTTAAGTTGACATCATTGCTCTTCAGAAATTTAGAGAAGTCCTTGACAGCAGACTTGCACAGCCACTATGCAATCACCATTACAGCACCATGTAGTTCCATAGCAGCTTCGCTACTCAAAAATAAAAATCTCTTGTGTTTCCTTTTATCAAACATTATCCTATCCTCAACTCTTAGGCACCATTTGAGCTATTTTCTCTCCCTACAGTTTGCCTGTTTATGACTTTTCCAGAATATTAAGGATCTTTTTGTTTGGTTCCTTTCACTTAGCATCATACACTGAAGGTTCATCCCAGTTGTTCAATGCTTTAACAACCCTCTTGTTTTTACTGCTATATAGTATTCCACTGAAGGAATTAATAATAGTTTGTTTAACTTACAAATTCATTGAAGGGTATCTAGGTTGTTTATAGCATCTGACAGTTATGAACAAAAGTACAAACTTTTCTGTGCAGAGACATTTTCAAATCATTCATTCTAGTAAATAACAAGAAATGCAATTGCAGGATTATATATTGAGCTTTATAAAATTCCTGCCAAACTATCTTCAAAGAACCTGGCTGATGAGACCAGTGTTGTACCTCATCAAATATACAGAAATGACAAGTTGTCAAAACATTATTTTAAATTTCTACGTTCATCTTTTGTACTTACTTTTATGTGGGCTGGGAGCCAAAAATTCTGTCCCTATACTTTTGTAGATCCTTTGTTTCAAAGCACTAATCAGTTGAGTAAATAGAGCTGAACAGTTTATTAAAACCATTTGAGTAAATGCAAAAGAAGCTGTTAGTCAATGTAGTGATTCAGCCTCACAAAGCAAATTCTAATAACTCCTTGGTGTTACAAAAATTTTGTCACCTGTTTGTACGTGATGCCAGGACATATACATTCCGTCCCTGCTCTGAGACTGGCTGCTGCCATGGGGACTGCAACATATGGTCTCTCTGCCAGCCAGTTCTTTTCTTTAGTCCTCTGCCATTGCCTGGCTGTGAGTGACCGCAGGAGTGAGTAGTGGCTTAAAGGTCAGGCATAGCCAAGTTGGAATAAATGTCAGATCAGGATCTTTGGGTACTACGGGGATATCTGGGCACATGTAGGTATGACAGTGCAGTAACCAGGGGACAGGCTATTTCATTCTGAGGGCAGACACACAATGAACCTTTTAATCAAGTGCATTGAATTCAAGCTACCAAATTCACTAATTGGATCACCAACTTCTCTGGGCTTTAGTCTCATCGGCACAGTAAGGGCTGAACATCTGTGCTGGGTACTGATCTAGGTTTTCCGGTGCTAGATCTACAGAGTTGTTGTTGTTATTGTTGTTGTTCGGTGCCATCAAGTCATCATTGGCTCACAGTGGTAGCACCATGTGTTAGCATTTAACTGTCCCATAGGGTTTAAAAAAACTATATTAGCTTATATACAAAAATCATACACATTGACCCCACATGGCTGTGATCTTTTTTTTTTAATGGAACGCTTCTTGCTGATCTTCTCTGTATCGTTCCAGTTTTAGTATATGTGCTGCCGAAGCGAGCACATGTGACCTTGATGGAAACAGATCTCCAGGTTTTCCCTCGGTGGAGCTGCTGGGTGGGTTTGAATGGTTAACCTCTCTGGTAGCATCAGTGCATGTAACTCTGTTCCGCCAGGGGCTCTGTTGTCATGGAGCTTGTATTTTATTGAGATGTTATTGGTAGATTGAAGTCAGCAGCGCTTGCTCCCATGTGTTCCTGGATGAAGGTCCATGTCTTTTCCCTCCTTGGCCCTGGGTTTCTAGGTAGATAGCAGATGCCGCCAAGTCGGTTCTGACTCACGGTGGCCCCATGTGTGTCAGGAGAGAACTCCACAGAGTCTTCAGTGGCTGATTTTTTTCTCCCTATGTAGAATACCAAGCCTTTCTTCCAAGATGCCCCTGGTTAGACATGCTAACCACTTACACCACCCCAGGGACTCTTTATATGTAGTTTGCTAGCTCCAGATATTTAAAAAATAATATTCAATAGCATAATCAATTTCTGTCTGTGCTTAGGGAGAGTGTTTCCTCTCGTTAAGGGTGCTAGCAAGTCTCTTTATTTAGCAAACTAAAATACAAACACTCATAAACAAATATTTCTGATTTTTTTGATGGCGAGTGTGCACTTTCATATTTGTGTGAGAAATTAGATGGAAGATGCTTCAGCACACAAATTAATCTGCAGCCCCAGATCTGGGAGTCTGCTATTTCTGTGCACTTGTCATTATCCACCCATAGATATATGCTCAGTTAACAAGTGAAACAGTATCAGTAAATACAATCAATATTATTTAATGTATAGTGTGTCAGAATTAGTGAGACTGGCTCAGGACAGGGAAGGGTTCAGAGATGCTGTATCTAGGGTCGCTATACATTGCAGGCGACACATAACATACTATGACAGGTTTGGAAGCAGGAGTGGAATCCACATTTCTTACACAACATGACTCTGAAAACTCTATGAACTTTAATAAATGTTGGTATTGTAGAGGGGCTTCAGGTCTTTGTTCACAGGGTCGCTATGAGTTGTTTTCGACTTGAGGGCAATAAACAACAAGAATATGTTAATGTAGTATTGGTATTGTGACAAACAAAGTGCTATTTGGAAGGGAAAAAATAATTCATTGACTAAGAAATGATATTTTAAAACAAGGTAATATTTATGATCTCTGACTTCTGTTAT